AGTCCAGGTGGGCCCAGGACACCAGCAGGAACAGTGTTCTGCTTAGAATGTGGAAAGTTGGTGGGCACCTGAGGGGAGGGTGGGGGCAGGTGTGTTTGCTAGGCCCTTCCCAGGACGGACGGTTGGGACAAGCTGCTTGGACACTTTCAGAGGAGAGGACTATGACAGGGTCCAGCTCTAACCCACGGCCTAGTGAGGTCTGCTTCTACTCAACGTACCTTGACTGGGCACTATGGCTGCTTCCTGTCCTTGTGCTAGGTCTGGCTGATCTACCCTCTGCTTCTGCTCTGTTCTTTCCCTGTCTCTTTCTCCTTGGGGTCTGCTGAGGCCTGGCCCCTAACTTATTCTCTGGGTCCTGAACCTCAGGTACCTCTCCCTCCCCCAGCCCATGCTTAGCCAGGCACACAGCAGGTGTGGCTTTGCTCCTTCCAGTATTGTTAGAGATGCAGGGGACTCTGGAATGCTAAACCCTGGCCCTGTCACTGGTAGGTGGGAGGCAAGGCTTAGAGAGCAAGGGGCTGCCAGTTGGCTATGGCACTTTGGAAAAACTGTTGGGGGTGAGGGAGCACTTGGAATGGAGAAGGGGCGACAGTTGGCAATAGCAGCTGGAGTGGCAGTTGGGGCTTGGCAGGGGCACAAGCCTGGAGGACAGTTGGGGTGGGGCAGCCAGTATTGGCTCGTAGCCCCTGGCCCTGGAGCAGCTCTGGAGGGCAGTCTTGCAGAAGCCTGGACAGGAGGGCAGGTCCAGATGGCTCTAGATCTGGCCAAGCTATGCCCAGGAAGCCCACATTACAGAAGCCTGGGTGAGAAGCCCCTCCCGTGGCTATGGCTTGGTCTTTGCTGCAGACTAAGGCAGGCTGCAGCCCCACAGTGGGACCAGGATGGGTGTTGTGGGCAGTCTCCTGGGTAGTCCCAGTAGTGGTTTTTCTTCTCTTCTGCTCCTGGATTTTCTAGATAGGACTTTCAGTGGTCCTGGAGAGGGCAGGGACAAGTTCTGGGCCATTTCTGGGAGAAGGCAGGATTCCCAGGGCTGTTGCCATGGGGACAACTGAGCAACACCAGTGGCTGGAGGATAAACAGGCAGTCTTCCTGACCAGTGACTGAGACAAAGACAGCCACAAAAAACCCAACTGGGGGTGGATGAGGAAACGCTGCCTTGGGGGAAGATGCCTCGCAATGATAGAGGAGATGGGGTGGCCCCTCTGTTAGATACTAGGGAGATTTGCTGTTCTTCTGGAATATTCTTTCCCAAAGCTCCTCCCACGCTATTACATACAAAGCTAGACCCTGAAGCTAAATGCAAGTAAGTCCCTAATTATTTCTCTATTGTTTCACCTTTCCTGCTCCTCTGCCCCTTGAAAGCCCACATGGCATGTTGGTGCCGGGCAGGTTGTCAGCAAGGCAAGTGGCATGGGGGGGGGGGGGCTAAGGTTTACAGAAGATGGTGTGCTTAGCCCAGCCACATGACAGCCTTAGTGGCTATCGTGTTCCAGGTACCTACAGCAGAAGGGGCCACATTCTGAAGGGCCTTCTATCAGAAAACACTTTCATGTCCTGATGAGTTTCTGCATCCTTTCCTAGCCCCCAGGATGTCTGGTCTGTTGCTGCTAATTCCCATCAAGGTCTCCTGACATGCTTATACAGGTATCTGGGGCTGACTTTTTTTTTTTTTTTTTTTTTTTTTTAAAGATAGGGTTCTATAGCAGGGAGGTAGTGGCACAGAGCTTAAATCTCAGCACTTAGGAGGCAGAGGCAGGCAGATGGAGCTCTGTGAGTTTGAGGCCAGCCTGGTCTACAGAGTGAGTTCCAGGACAGCCAAGGCTATGTAGAGAATTACCGTCTTGAAAAAAAAGGGGGGGGTTACTGAATGACCCCCTGGCTGGCATGGGTCTTATTTTATAGACTGGGATGCCCTTACACTCTGATCTACCTGCTTCTGTTTCCTAAATACTGAGATTAAGAATATGCCATCACACCTTGCTCCAATTTCTGTTTTTAGAATAAGTGTGTGTGTGTGTGTGTGTGTGTGTGTGTGTGTGTGTGTGTGTGTGCAGCTGGCTGCCCACTGAAACTAGAAGAGGGTGTTAGATCCCCGGAGCTGGAGTTACAGACAACGATGAGCCACCCAATGTGGATGCTGAGTGAGAAGCAATTTTGAGTTCTGTACAAGAGCAGCTAGCGAACACACTTTTGTTGTTGCTGTTTTTTGTTTGTTTGTTTTTTGGATACAGGGTTTCTTTGCGTAGCCTTGCCTGTGCTGGGACTAGCTCTGTAGACCAGACTGGCCTCAAATTCAAAGAGATCTGCCTGCCTCTGCCTCCTGACTGCTGGAATTAAATGTGTGAACACTTATTAAACACTGAACGATCTCTCCAGCCCCCGGGGGTGACTCTGGAAGGACCTCAACAGATAGCATGAGCCCGAGTGGTTGCAGGGCCCTGGCCATCTGTCTGTTCACATGTCTACTGCCCATCTTTATGGCAACCTGACAGACCCCTGCTATGGATGCCGAGTGCTGTGGTCAGAGTACAACTGAGGCCAACCTATCTGTCTAGCCTTGAGAGCCATCTCTAAGGTAGGTCACATGGTGCGAGGAACTGAGTTCCTGAGTCATTCTGGTAACATAACCTACAAAGCAAGCATATCAAAGTGTCTGGGCCAGCTCAGCCGTGAATTCCCTTTCCCTCAGGTCTGCCAAGAGGTTGAAGCTACTACTATTTTGGTTTTTAAACAATTATGGGGTTTATTAACTTAAAGGACAGTGATAGTGTGGAGATAAGGTGGCTCTGTCTCATCTCCATGGGTCTGTTACTGAATCTATCTACAAGCTATATTGTCTTTATGTCTAGGCCTTGTGCTCTGCTGTTGGCTTTCAGAGCAGAAAAGACAGGGGTCTTGGTCTAGTCACCGGTAGTGCTGCTTGGGTGGGGGTGCAAGTATGTGAGGTGCAAGCGAGTGTTAGAGAAAGGTGGTATCTGCTCTGCCCTGGCTCATTTCTAAACTCAGCAAGACCTCCTCTGAAGATGAGTAGCCCTTATGGTATATGGTAGGGGCCTGTTGGTGTTAGACACAGGCTTGGTTCTTACGGGCTTCCTGAGCAATGACTGGGCTCCATTGTGTTCATAGTCAAGGCTCGTCTACTGCTCCCAAGTTCTGCATGGAAAAGAGACACAGCATATACGATCATATATATATATATATATATATATATATATATATATATATATATATATATATATGATCAATACGATCTTCCTTGAATGATGCCTTGGGTGCCTAGCTACTTGGGATCTCTCTGAGGGACAGTGACCTTAGAGGTCTCCCCATGCTTCACTTCCTCCAAGGGCTGCAACAGAGACCAAACTGAGGAAGGGGATGGTGGAAAGGACTATCTACACACAGTGTTCTTTATCCCCTCAGAGGCAGGTGTACCCAGATGGACCCTCCTGGAGGTCAGGGGCAGTTATGTCAGAAGAACTGTACCATTCCTCAAGGATAGGAACAAGGAGGTGGGCAGGACTGGGGCATGGGTGACTTGCTTCAGATCAGATGTGCCAGCAGGGTCCACTAGGGGCACCTGGGCCACTACTGCCAGCCTAGATGCTTGTTGGGGGTGGGCAGGACATGTGCACAGCCATCTCCTGGAGCCCACGAATAGTGAGGAGTCTCCCAGGCTTTCATCTCTGACTGCCAGACCTCTGCTCGTCCTTGCTCACGGAAGGAGAATCCCCCTCCGGCCAGCCCTCCCACTGCCGCCCGCCCATGAATGCCTCCTCACACAACATGAGAAATCTTCCATCAGGGCGGGCGCCTCCCACCTCCCGAGGAATTCCGCTGCGCTGGCCCCTCAGGGAGGCAGGGCGCGGACAGCCCACGGCGCCTCGCGATTGGTTGGCCCAGCCCGGGCTCAACTCTTCTCTGCCCCTGGCCAGCTACAGGCTCACCTCCCTTCCAGCTGCTGCGCCCGTGATGTAGCGTGGTGGCCTTTAACCCCTACGTAGACCAGCCTGGAATGTAGGCTCCCTGTTCCAGCTCTCCAACGGCTGGAGGACGCTGGAGGCAAGGGACGCGCGGGCGGGGTGAAGAGAGCAAATCCTGGTTATACCGAAATCGAAATGCCATCAGTGTGGCTGGGAGCTACGGGCCAAGACAGGGTTGCTCACCACTTGTCTGAGCCCCACGCTCTCACCGGCACTTGGATGACAAGATCGACGTGCGGCAACCAATGCTCCTAGTTAGTCAATTTTGAGTCCCGCTTGCAGACACCGCCACGTGGCCCGCTTCCCAACGCGCGCCTCTCTGCGAGAGCGCCCAGGTCCCCGGATGGCGGGGGTGAAGAGTGACCAGCCCCTTCTGGGCACCGCGCCCCTACAGCGCGTTTTCTCCGCTCATCATGAGGCCCGTCGAGCCACCACGGCGCGCCTGGAAGTCGCTAAGTTTGGGAGACGCGCTTACCGCGACGGCTCCGCGGGGCTCGGGGAAAGCCGTGACCCAGTCTCGCGTGTCCCCAGGGACAGGCGCCCAGACAACGCGGGGTGCGCCAACCCGACCCCGCTGCGGTGTCCTTGCCCAGCCCACATCTCCCATCAGGTGGTCTCCGGCTGTGCGACTCTCGGGGCGCGAGCGCTCGACCCACGGACCCCATTCCTTGCCACTCGCAAGCCCATGGGAGGGGGCTTCCCACAATGCCCAGCGAGCTTCAGCCCGCACTTCCGCTGTCCAGCCCCGCGGGAGGGGGGCGGGGGCCGCCGGAGTACCGGCGGCCACTCTGCCCCGGCCAGCCCGCTGCGCCCAGCCGCCGGAGCGGGGGGCGGGGCCGGCAGGCGGGGGCGGGGGCGGGGCCGGGGCGGTGGCCGAGGCCAGGGCGCAATACGGGCCAATCAGCGGCGTCCGGGCGCGCGCCGAGGGCGGGGTCAGGGTCTGCGGGCGGGGCGCGCGGGGGCCGCGGGGCTGGAGCAGCGCGGGGGCGCGCGCCGGCCTGACGGACGGACGAACGGACCGGCGGGTGGACCGAGCCACCTGAGCGAGCGCGCAGCTCGGACCCTCCCGGACGCAGCGCTCGCCGGTGGCCGCGCGATCACCGGTCCGCGGCCACGGCGCCCGCCCGCGCCCGCGCCCCATGGGGTCACAGGTAAGCTGCGCCGGCTTATTGTCCGCGCGGCCGGGCTGGCGCACCACGCCGGGGCCGGGGCTGAAACCCTGGCGGGAGCCGGAGCCCGGTCTGGGGCGGGGGCCGGGCAGCTGCAGCCCTGGCCACTGTGCCCCAGGCGCGCCCCCGCCCTGCCACTGGCCCCCTGTCCGGCCTCGCGGGGGCGCCCTCCTGGGGGCGATGGCGCCCGGGGACTACGCGGCCGGAGACCCAGGCCCGCGGGGCCACGGCCCGAGTGGCGTGGGCGGGGCGGCGCGGCAGGTCCCTGCGGGGCTGAGCGCAGAGGCGGCCGCGGCGCGGGGCTTCCCGGCGCCTTGTCTGCCTGGCACCTTCGGCAGCCACTGCGGCCGCTGGGGTCCCTCTTCGTCACCTCCGAAAGGGAAATTTTCCAGCTGGTAATTTCTGCTGCGTCAACGCCTGGCCCCGGGAGGCAGCCCGGGGGCGTCCATGCGCCCCCCGTCCGCGCCGCTCCGTGCGTCCCCCGCCCGCTCGGCAGAGCCGCACCCGGACCCGCCCGCGCCGAGTTTGCCAAGAGTCAGAACTGCGGGAGGTGGGCCCTACGGGGCCTTGGGGGTCATTGTCTCCCCAGAAGCTGGACGCCAGTCGTTTTAGATTTCCATTTTAATAATGAGCCGAACTGGGGTGCAGGGCCCTCCCTGTGCGGTGGAGTGAGGAGCGCAGATAAGACGCGGCGCTTGGAGCGCACGGGGCGCGCAACGGAACCGGGTCCGCTACGAGTCGCGTCTTTGTTTCCCAGTAAATAGACCTGTCAGTTTCACAGGTTAGGGAAAGTCAGTGTCCGACAACTCAATCCCGAGGGTAAAACAGGAATTTTCTGCACCGTGGAGAGGGTTCTGGCTAGTTGGGGGATTCCCTGGGTATGGCTAGCGATTTCACTATTAGTAGGCGGAACCAGGCATACACAATAGGACTGGATCCGGGAGCCCGGGAACCAGCTAAATGGGGCGAAGAACAGATAATTTCTAAGGCAAAGAAATATAAGAAAGTTTGTCTGAAATCCTTAGTGAATTTCTTCCGTCGCTCATCACTACAATCTCAGCGTGTATTTAGTGAAGGTTACAGTGGCGAGATTGTTATCAGCACGCAAAGAGATGCTAATGAGAAGATGTGTTTGGTGAACCGCCTCGGCACTGACACCTGTGCACGGAGCTCTCCTGTGTGCGTATTGTCTCCCTAGTAGAAGGTTGGATGAATTCATCCTCTAAGCTAACTTAACTTCCCATTTGGGTGCAGATTCGCGAATTCCGCTCTTGCTGGTCCTCGTCTTGCCTGTGCAAGGCAGTGTTTCCACTCGGCAAGAGAATAGTTTGTTCACCAAAAGGAAATTTATAGGTTTTTCCACGTGAATAACGAAGCAAAGTTTATTATAGTAGGATTCCTCCGTTTTGGTATATTTCGTGATATTAGGTACTTTGAATTGAAACGTTTAGGCTACATCCCCTGTATTATTGCAGAAAAGATTAAGCAAATGGTAGTGATACGTAGGTAGAAGTATTGCAGACAGAAGTTTAGCATTGCCTTTGGAAACTTTGTAATCCTTTTACTTTTTCTGTAGGGAACCCATATTGGGGATTTTTTGCCAGTTTTCTCTTTAGAATAGTAGAAAGAACTTACCTTGAGTGTCTAAAAATCCAAAATCCAGTCTTTCCTCAAGCCTGCCTGAGGACATTTAATTAATCGTCTCACAGCACTACCTTGAATATAAGAATTTTGCTTTGCTCAGATAATTTTTATTCATGAGCCAGGTTTTGGTTGCACAGGCTTTTAATCCTAGCACTCAAGGAGGCCGAGGCAGAGGCCTTTGAGTTCAAGGCCAGCTTGGCCTACAGATTGAATTCCAGGACAACCAAGGCTACACAAGAAAACCATGTCTCAGAAAGCAAAACAAAAAAAGAATTTATTCATGATTCGTTGCTTTATGTAAATGTAAAGTTGTTCTGTGCCCAGACTTCAGTCTCATCTCTTTCTGACTGGTCAGCTGTTACCAGGGCTACTGGTGACACTTAGTACCCTTCTTCAGACATACCAGGGTCAGTCCAGTCCACTTCCTGTGACTTCTGGTGCGCCTTGGTCACATAAAAAAAAACAGGACATAAATATCGAAAAATGGAGAAAATGCTTCAGAGATTCATAGAAAGTGCCTGAAAGTATAGGTCTGTTACTGCCGAAGATGTTTATTTACAAATGCTGTAAATAAATTGAATTATATTTTAACAGTGAACTTCCCAACTTTCTCCTTATGTGGAGGTTTCCAAATTAAGGAAAATTGGGACACTCTGTCCCTGTGGTCTGGTTTCTGGGGCGCTGATCAGCTGCTGTGCTGTACTCCATGAGGTCTTAGACCAGCCTCTGAGAACTGAAGAGGCCCATTTAGTAGTGTACAGGGCAGAAAAACACTTGAGCTAATTTCTTACAGTATAGCAGTCACTTTTCTGTGCTTAGGCACTCTCTTAGCTATTAGTAAGAAGAAAGTTCTAGAAACAGTTGTCTCCCCTTTAATCTGCACAGCAGAGTCCTAGCACCTGCCTTAGGCAGTTTGTTCCAGGAGCTTCATGTTCTTTTTGTTTTCTCATTTTGAAAAAAATAGTAGGTTTTTATTCTGCTCAGAAACATACTCAAATTTAAATTCTCTGGATTGGATTGTTAAGAATTTCCCTTTGAAGCTGGGTGGGGGGAGAAGGGGGGCAGGTGCATGCCTTTAATCTCAGTGCTTGGGAGGTAGAGACAGGCGGATCTCTGAGTTCAAGGCCAGCCTAGTCTACAGTGTGAGTTCCAGGACAGTCCAGGCTACACAGAGAAACCCAGTCTTGAAACTACCCTCCCCCTCAAAAAAAAAAGAATTTCCCTTTAAATCTATTACATCTGTGGGTGGGTAGATATTTGTTATTTTCAAATCAGGGTTTTGCCTGGTGAAACTTTTGTTCCTAGAGTTTGCTGAGTGACCTGACCCCTAAGAATAAATAGATAAGGGAAATGTTCTAATAAGACCAAGAGACAAGTCTTTGAAACACTGCCAACTTGTTTCTGTCATGATTTTCTGTCTTCTGTTGCTTCTGTGTCTTTGGCCTAGCCAGTTCTGATCATGAACTTGTCCTGAGAGCTGAGCTTTGGGAACATGTAGTTGGTGGAGGATTACCTCTTTTTTATTTCTATTTATTTATTTATTTATTTATTTATTTATTTATTTATTTATTTATTTATTTATTTTGAGGTAGGATCTTACTCTTTAGCCCAGGCTGACTTCAAAGTTTGTAGGTAGCTTAGGTTGGCCTCAAACTTGAGGCGATCTTCTCTCAGTTGGTTTTTGTTTTTTGTTTTTTGTTTTTTTTAAGTAGTAGACTTACAGTTGTGTACCGCCTCACCTGCTCTTTTCTTCTCTTCTTTTTGTTTTGTTTTGAAACAGGGTTACATATAGTCCAGGCTGCCTCCGTCCACTGTGTAGCTGAGGCTGCCCCTAAACTCCTGGTTCTTTTTGTCTCCTATGTAATGTGCATTCTAGAGCACAGGATACACAATCAGGCTTGGCTTTTCTGCCATGGATGGCTTACCCACCTTTTTTTTTTTTTTAATCTCCCTCAGGTTTGTGCTCTGGTTTACCAGTGCACTATGCCTGATGGTATTGCTTGTAGGCAGAGAAGAGGAAGAACATTTTGTGACAGGTTGCTCTATGAAAGACTTGAGAGGAGAAGCCGGGTGCGGTGGCACAAGCCTTTAATCCCAGCACTCTGGGAGGCAGAGGCAGGTGGGTCTCTGTGAGTTCAAGGCCAGACTGATCTACAAAGGGAGACCAGGACATCCAAGGCTACACGGAGAAACCCTGTCTCAAAAACCAAATAAAATAAAAGACTGAAAGGAAGACAAAAAGAAGTCAAGTTTGACTTAGATACGACTTATATATTTATGTATACTACTGAATTTCAGAGTTTCATTGGTGCCACCTAATTTTGATGTATATTTTTAATTACTAAGTGTTTTATTCTGCTTTTATTTAAGTATTATTTATGTTTTAAGGCAGGTTTTCTCTGTGAGCAGCACTGGGGGTAAAAGCATGTGCCACTGCCTCCCAGCCACTAAGTATTTTAAAACATAATTTGGATTTAAAAAGTTATTAACCTAGTTATCAGTAGCAAGTTGGGAAATAATCAGTATGTTTTTTAATAGCGCCATCTGAGCTTTTCGTGTTTTGACAGATGTGCTTTATGAGTTGTGTTAGCCAGACATTCTTGCTTTCCTGTGTTGATTATTTTTTTTCCCCCTCTCCAGTTTTTGAGACATAGTCTTGCTACAAAATCCACACTGGTCTGGAACTCAGGATCCTCCTGTCTCCTGAACACTGAGATTAGAGATATATACACCGTCATGCCTATCCCCAGGATTCTTAACGACTGTTTTTGTTTTTCATTCAGAACCTGTCCTAAGCCAGGCCTTAGGCCATTCTGGGCATGTTATGGCCGAGGGATGTGGGGAGTGGCCACACAGAGCTAACTGATGTGACAGTAAATGCGTGTGCGAAGCGTCTCAGAGCTTAGGCAAGATGGGGAGGGGTCCTGGAGTTCCCACAAGTAACCTGAGGAACTGGCCTTCAGCATTGCATTTGGAGAGCTGTCGCCCAGTAGGCTATGTCTTCCTCGGCTTTGTGGATATTGAATTGCTGGCGAGAGGTGGCAGATCTGGGAAAGAGAGGTAGCAATGCTGGCCGTGAGAAGTGACTAAGGTCATACTGTAGCCTGTCTTAAGCACACAGCCCCGTCTTGTGGTCTACTGAAGGCAGTGGCATGGTTCTGCAGCTGTCTTATTGATGAGTTTCTTCCACATTTTCTGTCATTTCAATTGCCCACAAAAAAGGAAAAAGATACACAAACTCGCATGAGTGATGAATTTATTATTATTATTATTATTATTATTATTATTATTATTATTATTATTATGTTTTTCAAGACAGGGTTTTTCTGTTTAGCCTT